GAGGGGGAAGAGGAGGAGGAGGAAGAAGAGGAGAAGGAGGAGGGGGAAGAGGAGGGGGAGGAAGAGGAGGAAGAGGAGGAGGAGGGGGAGGAGCCTAAGTCCTTATTTGGACTTAGGCTTTAAAACCAGAGGATTTCCACCCAAAGGAGATCTTTATTAGGACCGATTAGGTCTTTTCCTACTGTTAGGATTTATTTTAGCTTCTGTCATCATGATCCACTTCATTTATTATTAAAAAACAGGAAAAATTTTAGGCCAATTATAACTTTATCGATGTATTAGGGTTTTTAATGGTTTTAATCATGATTCACCTAATTTATTTTTAAAAAACAAAGGAAAAAAATTCATAATTAATATCTAATTGAGACTAATTGTAATTTACTGATTTATCATGGTTTAAAAAATGATGGTTTTGATTTGATTTAGACCAAAACACTGCAGCTAAATGACATAATTCATTTCTAATTGAGACCAATTATAACTTTACTGACGTATTAGGGTTTTAATGTTTTTAATCAGGATCAACTTAATTTATTTTTAAAAAACAAAGGAAAAAAAATACATAATTCATATCTAATTGAGACTAATTATAACTTTACTGATGTATTAGGGTTTTAATGGTTTTAATCATGATCTACCTAATTTATTTTTAAAAAACTAAGTAAAAAATAGACTTAATTCATATCTAATTTAGACCAATTATAACTTACCTATGTATTAGGGTTTTTAATGTTTTTAATCATGATCCACTTCATTTATTTTTTTTAAAAAAAGGAAAAAAAGACATAATTCATATCTAATTGAGACTAATTGTAACTTACCTATGTATTAGGCTTTTTAATGTTTTTAATCATGATGCACTTAATTCATTTCTAAAAAAACGAAGTAAAGAAAAAGACATAATTCATATCGAATGATGGGAAGCTGCAGGTTTAACGGGAGGACTTTTAAAATAATGGCTTCTGGGAAAAGCCCTTAGCCTCTAAAAGCAATCGGCCGCTTTCAGAATCACTAATGAAGCCCAAAGAGAGGAAACCTTCTCAAACAAACTGATTAACATATCAGAACCATCACTCCTCACTGGAGTCTGACTTTTTTTACTGGTTTGTGTTTTTCTGCTCACTTTGGACTTTAACTGTGAGACAAAACTGAACTATGTTGGCGGGAAAAGCCTTTAAAACCAGCCGGGGTAATAGTGTTAACAATAAATTAGATATTTTTTTTCTCTTTGTGAACTTCACAAAATATGTGAGCCATAATGTGAATAGTATTGGGATGGGTTAATGGTTGTCTATTGCAGTGTTTTTCAACCTTTTTTTAGCCAAGGTACAGTTTTTCATTGAAAAAATCTCGAGGCACACCACCAACCAAAAATGTTAAACAAATCTGTATCCGCCTATAGTAACACTATAGTTATTCTTATCTTATCTTAAGTGTATTGAATAGGAATCAAATAAACACAAAAATGTATTTTTATCTTATTTTATATTTCTTCTTTCAAATTGCTCTTAACATGTCCACTTCAATATACAAAATTATATACAAAATCTAGCCATAAGGAATTATTACATGATTACGCCACCAGTCACTAGAACAGCACAGACACTCAAAAATTACATATTATTTGCAGATAATTAATTCCTTATCAAAAAGTCTTTTTAGACCAATTAGGTGAAATAGGATGATTTTCTACGGCACACTAGTGTACCGAGGACCAGTGGTTGAAAAACACTGGTCTATTGGTTCCGAGGGGGCGATAATTGGTGGTGCACACCGGAATTCTTCCTAACTATTTGAAGATTGGGAAGGGATAAGAAGTGGTACATTTTTTCTACGTGTGACGAATTGTTTATTGTTGTTAATGTGTTATATTGTTTCTGTTATTTGACTGGTTTCTGATGGGAAGATATTCTGTTACGTTATATTCGTTGTAATTTTCGCTAAAAATATGCAGATTAGCGATATTAATGCGGCGACCGTTATGAAGTTTAATTCAATTAATTTAATTAACTGGTGCTAACGAGCCCATTGTGTCACATCCATTCGACCCCTTCCAGTGTGTCTCATTATCGGCCCCGTCTGTTATTACAAGTATGTTAATATATATATAAAAATATAGATCTGTGTAGGATTTGTTGTATTGTGGATTTTATTTTCTTTGTTTTTTTTTTACTTGTAAACTATACAATCTAAGTGCCTTGATTTTTGTTTTAGTTTCACAATGTGTGTCTCATTATCGGCCCCGTCTGTTGTTACAGAGGGAAATAAATACTTCTCTCCTGTCTCCTACTTCCAACAATCAAAGAGCTTTTTTCTATTTTAATGTAACTGGCGGTTAGTGTCGGTTACACAGAGGGGGCTTACTTTACTCCGGGAATATCCAACATGTTGGTGAGTCCCGTCCAGTTGATGTCCAGCATCTGGAAGACAGACAGGAAATGGTTAAAAAGAGTTTTAAAAAAAAGGACTTTAATTAGGTTTTTTCAGAATCAGAATCAGAAATACTTTCATTATACCAGAGGGAGATTATTTTGGTTACAAGCTCCATAAATAAAACAACAGCATGTACATATATACATACATACATAAAAAAATAATAATAAAAATAAATAAATAAATATATATATATTATATTTATATTAATTTTTAAATTAATACAAATCTACAAAAAGCTCAAAATTAAGTTAAAAATATAAATAACTCAAATGAAAAAGCAATCCCTTGATTTTTTGGGGAAATTAGTCGTCAAGATTAGTCGACTAATTGAAAAATTATACACAAAATTCCACACAGAATATAGATAAATATATACATAAATAACTGTATGTATATATATATATAGGGCCGTGTTTAACTCAAAAATGGCTAAATTATCCAGATTTTTTTCCTTTTTCCGGCATGAGTTGGTAGCAAAAGTTAAAATAACCAGAAATGGTTTCAGTTTCAGGAGCAAAAAACGGTTTTTAGTCCAACAAAAATGAGCTTCTCCTTAAAACGAACCATCTCTGAACAGAGGTTCCAGTTCATTTTAAGCCTTGCTTTTATTTTTTTATGTATTTTTGGGTAATTTTTAGCCTTGTTTTTTCTTTTTTGATGTATATTTATTCATTTTAGGCTTGTTTTTTTCGTGTATATTTATTCATTTTAGCCTTGTTTTTTCTTTTTTGGTGTTTCTTTATTCATTTTTAGCATTATTTTTTCTTAATGAGGCGCTTCACCTTAAAATCAACCATCTCTGAACAGAGGTTCCAGTTTCCAGTCTGAGAAAAGTTCTGGTCCTAAACGTATGTTTAACTAAAAAAAAAATGGCTCGAATCCCCGTAAAACTCCTCATATTTCCCGGAGTGATGTAATCGTGTCCAGATCTGTGGCTTAGCCCGGTTTTCTGACCCAGTTTCGGGCTAAAGTGGGTGGTCTGAGGAAGGGAACGGAGAGGAAACGCAGAACCACAGACCAGGT